ACAGTGATAATTACCATCAGTTCAGTGAACTATTAGCAATGTGTGGTTTGTTTACTCTATGACCATTTATTGTTAAGTGCCATCGAGTCAGTTCCAAATTCACGGTGGACCTTGTATAGTGTTTCTGAGGCGTGGTTGGTGAAATGGAATTAAAAGATAATGGGATTTCTCCACAAACTTTTTGAAGCCCTCCGTATTTCAAAACAGTCACAAATTTTTGGATATTTCTATTTCAAAGTATGTTTGTAAAAGAACAGAAAAAAATTCCCTAACTTTTGGTAACCTTTTTGTTTGTTTACAGATATTAAAATGCATGCTGTGGTGAAGAAACTATGCTTAATTGACAAGATAATTGAGTATTTAAACAGATGTGTGTGTCAAGATGGACAGGTAAGTCTGGTGTGTGTGTGTAGACATATATGAAGGGGCTTCAAAAGTCTCTGGAAGAATGGAGTTCAAAGCTAAGGGAATTCTTCCATGAACTCTTAGAAGCCCCCTCACATCTGTAATGTAAAGTTATGTCCAGCTGGATCTGAATGAGGGCTTGGATTTGAAATCTTAGTAGCACCCATGACTTTGTTCATGGTCTGTCTTCTAAAGTGAGGTCTCCGGTAGAGGAACACAGTCTTGACATTTCCACAAGACATGTGAGGGGCAGTATATGCAAAGTTTACTTCCACTGGAACGTTCATTTTAACAGTTAATTACATTTTTAGTTCAGACAATTTTGATGAAAACATCTAACATTTAGAATAAAAGGCTGTAGTTTGTTTTGGCTCTTGTTAGAATTGACGAAAGTGAATCGTTGTTTGTGTCCTGCTCCCCTGCAGGTTATAGAATGTATAATCCAGCCGAGCCTCACCCTCTTCCGAAAAGTGCTGTGTGCCGACCCCGCTCTGCGCGCCTCCTTCTCACAAAGGTCCAGTCTGCTGAGCCTGTTGCTCAGAGGTGAGGACACTCGTGTGTGCCAACCATAGCAGTTTATTCTTTGTAGGTAGCATTCATTTTCCTTATCACCAACAGAAAACAGTGTTTACTAATGAACGTGCCATTGAGAAAACGCCCCCACAGACGAAGACGCCCACTTCTCTTGTCTCACAATCCTGTGTCCGGATAACCCTGTGCTCAGTGACCTTTCTGTCCTTGGGGACCCAGTTATTTATGAAGAGATACTTACCCACCGGTGGCCACTGCGGCCTCCTTGCCAGTATTGTGTCCTCTTGCTCGTTGCCCTGCTGTGCTTACATCCTCTAGTAGGCATCTGATTGTGTCATTTGTCTGGTGGTGTGAGTAGAGGAGTGGGAGCAGGGCCATCTGGAGGAGCCCCCGTGTCTGTCTTACAGTGTGTAAACTGTGTGTGTGTATGTGTTTGTGTGGTGTGTCTAACTCACTGTGGTCCGCTGCCTCTGACTCAGTCTTGTGTTGAGGTGGAGAAAGTCCTTGTGCTTTGGTCCTCGCCTCTCCTCCACTGACTGTCCTCAGTAGGAAACTTGCCCACAGTTTGTGGTACTTTGTCTCCTTGCTTTCACATCTGCTCTAGGGCCAGCCTGCTCAGATGTCTCGCTAGTCCGCTGTCAGTGGGGGTGCTGTACACTAATGAAGTGACCTGGCAGCCTCACCGGAAGCTGGCTCAGCTCAGAGGTGACCAGGTCTGGTGAGGGGCTCCTGCACCAGCGGTTCCTCTGTCACGGGCAGCGGGGATACTTGCAGCTTTCACACTCCACCGCAGGCCTGCTGACTTGGGCCCTGGTTCCCAAGTGATTGGAGAGGCTGAGAGCCACTGCTCGGGGTGTCCTGTTTACCTTGACTCATTTCCCTTGAGATTTAGAAAAAGAAGAATTCTCTATGTTTTGGTTGTGCAGGATATACAGCAGTTTGTGTGTGTGTTCTAGTGACACTGATGGCCGTCACCGTGTGCAAACTTTCTCCCTGGTTTTACACAGTCTCACTGCCCCCGAGTTCCTGTGTAACGGGCGGACAGCATGTATCCGTGGTTCTTTAAAGAACGTGATGCTCAGTGCAGAGACTTTGCACTTGCTAAATAAACTATTGGAGGTTCTTTAACTTTTTGTTGTGAATTGGATGAAGGTGTTCAGAGCAAATCTGTTGTCCACTCAACAGTTCACGCCCATTTTGTTTCATACCCCACAATGCAACCGCACTCTTCCTGCTTACTCTCTGGGTTTTCTGTGTTGTTTCGTCCTTCTTCCCTAACCTTTCTGAATTTTGTCCTTGAGCACATGCTGCCCTTTTGATCTGAAATGGTTAATTATTCTGAGGAGGGCTTACCTCCCCACTGTTACTGTTCTCCTATGTTCTTAAGTGCTGTTCAGTTGGTTTTGACCCATAGCAACCCTGTCTCGGGCTTCTGAGGAGCAGCTGGTGAGCTTGAACCACCAGCCTTGCAGTCAAACAGCTCTGCAGTCTGGCGCATTAACCCGCAGCGCCCCCAGGACTCCATTCTCCTTATAGACTAGGCTATGGTTTGGCTGACAAATTTTTTTTAAAAATATTGTGGATTATGTGATAGTTTACATGGAAGAATATTAGCTTTACATTCATCTTATCGTATATTGTTTCATTTCATGGTTACAATCCCCTCCATGCATCATCAACCAACCAAGTACACCCCACAAGCCTGCCTCCCCGTCATCAGCACACAGCCCCTCTCCTTCTTTGGGTCTAGAGTCCCCAGCTGCTCCATCTCTCCACGTCATTGTCTCTGCCTCCGTCTCTGGCATAACTGCTTCTCTGGGTAGGGTCCTGCTCTCCGCTCTTCTCCCAGGGACCTCTGCTCCTAGACTGCAAAGTTGATCACTCCCCCTCCTTGCTACTACCTTTACATTTCCAACCCTCATAATCAGTTGTAATAGCAATTATTTACTGTTGTATCACAAGAGGCCTATCCCCATCTCCTTTCACTAGCCCCACCCAGACAGATTGGATACTACTCAGAGGAGAGTCTGCCTTCCTCTTCGCCCTCTGGATCTAGGCTCCCTCTTGAAAGCTTTTAAGCCAGTCACTTCTTGTCTTTGTAGCCCCCCCATTTGAGTAGCCAATGTCCAAGTTGCCCATTCCTTTCTGCCCTGTATATTGAGGGGGTGGGAATGGTTTTTGCTATAGAGATTTGTTCCTTTAAGTGCAAATTTACACAGCAAGTTAGATTATCATTCAGTAATCCATACACGTCATGTCTCGTGACTCTCAGGGATCCACACAC